GGACCTTTAGGGAGAAGATGCCTTCTGGGTTGGGGGGTTAATGTTATGGTATGCAATCACTTACTTCATATTTATCTTACAATTCTTCCTTGTGTACAATCGGGTAATTAAAATAAAGGATGAAACAGTTAGCCAATAACATTTTCATTACATTTAAACATTCCAAAAAAGCTGTATAGAACCGTTAATCTTCAAGGAATTATAGTCAAAGAATGTCAGGGAAAATGTGTTGGCAGATGGATGAAATCTGTCCGAGGGCTAATTTGTACTGTACACAATTAACATATACAGTACATTGCTGCATCCCTCCTAGTTATAATAGGATTTCAGCAAAAAAACATCCCACCCACCCTGCACATTTGGGAGCTTTGGCATAGTCAGGTGTTGATTACCTTACATCTATGGATTCTTAATGAATAAGTTGCCAGCACAAGGTCTACCATGTTTGAGTAGAAAGCGCTATTCACATTCTCAATGAAGTGCCATGCCTTCTGTGCTGGGTGGGGCATCCCCCAGCCTGCCGAAGCTCCGGTTCCATCCCACCGAAGCTCCGCCCCATCTCAACAAAGTCCCCCTCATCCCACCGAAGGCCCCGCCAGCTCGGTAACCAAGCTGTGTGGGGAGGAGGACAGGGAGGACCCTCCATGTCCCTCACTTGATCATCTCTGCTGAGACATCAACATCCGTGGTCTACGTGCATTTTTTTTTTTTTTTGATTGGACAGCTTGGACCAATGGCGCTTTGTCATTGGCCCAAGCCATCCACAGAGCTAACGCCTCTAACACAGAGTAAAGGCTGTGACAGCTCTTGCCTTACCAAGTTAGGTTACACAAGCAGTGGGGAAGCTCGCTGCTGTGTAACCCAACAATGTGATAAATAGCACCTTGCGCCAAACCCTGTGTAGCTGCAAGCACTATAAGAAGTGTTACCCTCTGAATATATCAAATTATAATGAATGTGCTGTGTTTCATCTAGAACAATACATAAACAAATCTCTATAATAAATATGTGCTTAAATAATACATGTAATCAAAAAAAGTGTTAACCATGAATCTTCTTGTAAATAATAGTCCTCTGGAAAGTTCAATCATATATTCCGTGTTCAAATATACACAAATGTGGAATCACACGTATATAGTGCTCAGGATTTGTCCCGAGTGACCTAAAGTGGTGGCAGATTCAGCAGGACAACCCTGTATTTGCTGCTCATGTGATTATGTTAATTGAACATGAACATTTAGAAACTGCTTCTGTCAATACAAATCAATGGGAATGCAAGCATGATGCGGCTTAGAAGGCAACTCGGAATGATCTAAGGAATGTCTTCATCTGACCTTAAATGAAAGTTAATTGCACCTGAAAGCAAGCTGCATTTTTCATAAGTTCACACTGGCAACAGACTTTACCACCCTCAGAAAAGCAGTCGGTAGTGGATCGTTTTTTTGAGGGTGGCTGACAACCCAATTTGTTGTTTTTCAGGAAGCAATAATAAACTGCCTGTTGTTTTAACCTAATGGAAATTTTGCATTGCAATACCATGCTGCAACATTTTGCAGTGAGTCGCCTCCCCATATTAGGTTTTAGGTAAGCGGTCAGGGGGCATACCAAGCGCCTGTATTTTCCAACTTTTTGTCACCCTTTTATCCCTATGAGGATTTTGCAACGATATGAGGATCCCCTATGAGGATTAAAACGATACCCAACATGCCCAGTTTACAAATTGCAACTTATTCTTAATGAATAAGTTGCCAGCACAAGGTCTACCATGTAAGGTAAGGTTCATGTCAATGAAGTGCCATGCCTTCTGTGCTGGGTGGGGCATCCCCCAGCCTGCCGAAGCTCCGGTTCCATCCCACCGAAGCTCCGCCCCATCTCGGCGAAAAACTGCAGTACCCCAAAAAGTCCACAGAAGACGCTTTAAAAGCCCCCACAGGTCATCAATTTAGAGCTACCCCACAATACTGGCCCTAGAATTATTGCTCTCACTCCGGCGTGCGCGGCGATACCCAACATGTGTAGCGCGTTCGTCGTTTTCATAGGTAGGCGCACCCGGCGCGTGTTTACGTGGCGACGCGCGTGCTCGCGGGGGACTTTTACATTTTTCCCTTCTGCCCTTCTTCGGGACACAGAAGCGATCTGGCGACAGGTAAGTCGCCAGAATCGCTTCTGTTGTAAAGCCGACAGTCGGCTCTACAAGTTTAAACAGACTCCCGGCGGCAAAAGTCGCCGGGAGTCTGTTTAAACAGCCCCGATGCTGGCGACGTACACTGTACGTCGTCAGTCATGAAGGGGTTAAGACACTCTTCCTTTCCAACCCTCCCCCTTTGCAGTATTCTCCTAGGTATGTAAAAATATTTTGAAATTTTCAGAGCGTTAACAGTCTATGATTGCCTTGTATAATCATTACTGAAATTGAAAATGTTCTTCCTAAGAATTTGCAAATATGCCAAGTATGAGCTGGCATATTTGCTTCATTTACTGAGCAAAAAAAAAAATAGATTTTTAGCAACTCAACACAAACAACTGGTACCCAGTCTGAGCTTTTAACAAAGTATGATCCTCTCACAGTGTTATTGATTACTTCTACAAATCTACTCAAGATTTATTTTATCCACACTTTTTACACCCTGGTGTCTATTGAGGTATGTATAATGGAAAGGGCCACTTTAATGTAAACTCCCGATGTGGGTAAAGATAGAATGATCATTACGATTTCATCTGAGAAAGCTTCGTTCCTTGGTAATCTTTAAGAATATACCGCCATCGTTTCTTGGCTATATCTTTTTTTTTTAAACACACAAAGTCTACACCTCAAATAAGCCCTTTTACTTAAAAAATCCTGACAGATAAAAAAAAGAATCCTGTTCATTCCGGCTCTCAGCGTGGAGCTGATCAGCAATTGCATCAGCTGAGCCCTTCAGTCAAACAATTTAGCATGGCCTTTTCCACCCTCATCCCCTCTCTTATCATAAATACTGCACAGAACGGAGAGTCTGCACTTCCCTTTCCTCCAGAAATGGAATACCTGCACAAACAAATGTGACAGACATATGAATATCAGACGCAAACATTATGCTCAGCACCATTGCAATGAATACTAAACAAACTCCTAATTAGATGCTGCAGAAGAGTGATCTTTGTTCCTCTCTGCAAATATTCATTTTGTATATGTTGCAAGCATGCTGTTCCTTTGGCAAAAAAACAAATCAGCTTGCTAGATATTGAACTTAGAAGAAATGTATGTTTTTTTAGTATTCACTGATGCTTGCGTGTACTTAAAGAAGAACTCCGCTAAACCTTAGTTATAACAGGAAGCTGTAGCCCAGTGCAGTCTCTTTAAAGCCCATGTCCACACAAAACTTTGACACATTCACATTTTTTAAATGCCTTAAAGTGTATTTCACCTTTGCACTCAAGTTTGAGAAAATGTCTTTTTATGTGTTTTTTTTGTGTGTGTTCCTATTCACGCACAATACTTAAAAATATATTTTTACAAACATTCTTACCTTTTTAGATGTCTGGGTTGGGTCCTTTCCTAGCTTCTCTCTCTCGGTCTGAGACCGGTACAGCGGCTCTGTGACCGGAGATCACCGCATTCATCTGTCACTCTCCGGCTACAGAAGCCAGAGAGAAGCTGGTGAAGCAGATCTCAGCTTCATCAGCTTCTCTGGGGGGTTCCTAGGTGACATTAGGGGTCTTAGAGACACTTGATGTCTCCATAAAGAGGACCTGCCACAGTACATTGGCTATCACGTAGGGGTATACGTATAGCAATAAAGTTAAGTGAAAAAAAAGGTTAAAAAAATGAAAGTTAAAAAAAATGTTTAATTAAAAAGTCACATATAATAACATAAAAAACCCTTAAAGGGCCAGGTATGAATTGCCAAGAAACCGTACGCTGTTTTTTTAAAATTACTTGGGGTGCCCCCTAACATTCCTAGCAGAACTTTAGTGTATTGTGTGACAGCTGTCAGAAGCTTTACATTTGGGATGGAAGTGTCAGCAAAGAAGCAGAAGCTGTTACACAATAACACAGCTCTCTCAGCTTCTTTCTTTCTTTACATTTTGTAACAATATTCTGTTACTTTGTCTTCAGTTGAGATACAAGTACAGAGAAGCCAGAGAGCGCTAAATGACAGCTCTCCGGCTTCTTGTGTTTTTCGTTTCCGAATGAAATTCTGATGTATCCAATTTTCCTTGTTCAAACATTTGGATTCCTTCAGATTCGTTAGGTCTGTCATTCGGAAATTCGGATGCATCCCAATGTTCAAATTTACAGAAATTACAAATTTTAATTTGGAATGAAAGGAAATGCACATATGTGGTATTAGACCAGGCAGAGTAATGGATAACTATTCTGTGTTTTATTTATTATGGTATAACATAGTATAAAAAAGCACCATTACTGAATTTCAGTGATATGATCTTATTAAAAAATGACTGCCGTGGATTGCCTTCTCTTAGTCCACCATACTACACTGCCTGGCCAAAAAAAGGTCACCACCTGGATTTAGCTAAGCAAATAGATCAGAGCCTTCCATTGGATAATAGCTCTAGGTTCAGTAAAGTTATGTCCTTTAAAAAGTCAGCTACCTATCTGAATATACTGAATGACCAGGTTTTTCCATCAATGGATCTTTTCTTCCCTGATGGCACAAGCATATTCTAAGAGGAGAATGCCAGGATTTAAGTGGCTTAAATTGTGAAAGAGTGGTTCAGGGAGCATGAGACATAATTTTCACACATGGATTGGCCACAACAAAGTCCAGACCTTAACCCCATTGAGAATTTTTGGGATGTGTTGGAGAAGACTTTACGCAGTGGCCTGACTCTCCCATCATTACTACAAGATCTTGGTGACAAATGAATGCAACTCTGGATGGAAATAAATATTGTGACAGTGCAAACATTTATTTAAATTATGTCAAGTTGAATGTGTGCTGTAAACAAAGCTAAAGGTGGTTCAACCACACATCAGTGTGTGATTTTTTTTTGGGGAGGGGCCAGACAGTGTATTTTTCTTACCTCTTTATTGTGATCATGTGCTGTGTCAGTAGCTGATATTGTTACACAAGACTACTATAATCTTTCTAAAATAGCCTTCATGAACCCTTTCAGGTGTCCTGGCAAAAAAACCCTATATGTATATCTGTGATGGAAAAAATGCTTAGAGAAAAATCTTGCTTGAATCTGAGGCAGCTTGGGACTAAAAAGGGTAATAAGATACTTGCTGTTCTACTTCTCTTTAATGGTGCACCCTAAGCACATGGCATCCTTCTCTCGCTCAGCACTGGCAGCCTGCATGGGAAGGGAAGATCTACACCTTATGGCCAAACATTTGCGGCAGCCCTCCAAATGACTGGATTCAGGCTTTTCCATTAAAGGGTACTGTTAATGCCGCATTGTACAGTACAGTACAAAGACAATTGTGCACATCCATCCCTGTGGCAGGAGTTTGGGTTGTCCTCATTCTGCACGATCAAGTCCCAATCCTCCCCCAATGTTCAACTATTATTGGCAACAGGTAAGAAGAATCAATGATTTCACATGTTATGCAGTCTTCCCAATTTATTTGGGTAGAGTGCTTCTTCAGGGCATACAACTAAGTAGATCTGGCTGTGACAAGTCATAAACAAAACATTAGGTGGAACATACAGTACATATCAACCAACAATTATTTGTTTAAAAACCAATACAAAATTTGACTTTCATAATCTTCACTTTGAATATGTCTTCACAACAAAGAAGTAATAAAATGAACTAGGATCACACTAATCCAGCACGTTATTATTCTAAGTTGCCCCACTGAAGCGGTGGCCATATTGAGTGGGGCACGTCATGAGAATAATAACATTCTGGATTAGTGTGATCCTAGTTAATTTTATTACTTCATTGCTGTGCTGTATGTGTATAGGCCAATGTAGTTGGATCTGTATGTGCGTTATAATTAATCGATGAATCGATTTTAAAAAATTTCGATTAATCGAACACGAAAATGTTAATCATTACCAGCCCTAATATAATTATAGGTCTCATTTCACGCCCAATAGTATATACATTTGCATAATTACATAGGTTCAAGTCTTCTTAGGTATACAGACTAGAGTACCTTTTTATTAGTGTTAAAAATCATCAAAGAGCCGTGCAACATACCTATATTTCACCCTGAGCATATACCATGGGTCTTCAGGAAAACTGCTGTGTGTCTAATGAACATCCAGCTGGAAAAGCCACTCTAAAGCCAAACAAAATCAAACAAAAGTCATAACACTCAGCGATTATTTCCCTTCCATATATATTGATACACATATGTGATGGGTCCTGGTGATCCCATGACATACTCACACATAGTATGTGATGTGTGTGTGTGGGGGTGGGGGGGGGTGATCAAGGGATGATGGAGGATTTGGGACTTGAGCTTGTTTTTGTGTATTTTAATGTGCATGAAGTCATTAATAAATATTAAAATTTTTGTGTGAGAAGTGCCTTATAAGAAACCCCACAGTATTTGTGGTATGTGACAGGGGGCACGACGCTATAAATTCAACCATCTAGCACCTACCTGGGTGTAAGGTACCTGTGGTGCCGGAACTTCCTCTTCCTCCCTTCTTCTTATCCCCCTTAGAAAGCAGCTGCTGCTGCTGCTCTCCCTTGTCAGCTCTGCCGCTGCAAGGGTTAACAAAAAAAAACATTTCTCCCTGCCCGATTCACTTACGGGCTCCTCTGCCTCATCAGCGGTCACATGTGCCTTTCTCCTCCCTCCTCAGCTGCTATTGGCTGGGAGGGAGAGTGCAGCACCGCCATTGGCTGCCTGTGAATCTTAGGAGAGCTGGACAGGACCTGCAGAGAAGGCAGCTTGGGGCTTTACATGGTGGAAATATCGATCC